AAAGTTACTCTATGGTATATCTGGCTTATGTTCAACAGTGGACTTTTGACAGGCTGTAACGTTAAAGGTAACAATGTTTAAAAGGTTTGTCTGTCTGTCTATCTGTCTGTCCAAGCTAATCATCGAAGTAGTTGGACCGGATTATATAGAAAGAAAAAATGAAAAATTATTTATTACAAGCACCAAAGCACATGTTACAGGATATCATACATTAAACACACAAAATTCTAAGTAAAGACTAAAAGAAACTAAATCGTAAATAAAATGTAAGCAATTCAATCAAAGCTTTATTATGTGTGCAGCTTTAGTATTAAAAAGACTACACTTAGCATAATGTCGTGGTGTTATCCACGAATCTGGTCTTCAGTGCGCCCTCTAGTGAGCATAACATACGGACGATAACGCAACAACACGTACAATTATTACTAAAACTACAACTACCGCACATAAACATATTGTGAGTAAAAGAGAAAATAGGTTTTATAATAATAACATCGCTAATTGTTTTCAGTGCGCCCTCTAGTGAGCATAACATACGGACGATAATGCAACAACACGTACAATTATTACTAAAACTACAACTACCGCACATAAACATATTGTGAGTAAAAGAGAAAATAGGTTTTATAATAATAACATCGCTAATTGTTTTCAGTGCGCCCTCTAGTGAGCATAACATACGGACGATAACGCAAAAACACGTACAATTATTACTAAAACTACAACTACCGCACATAAACATATTGTGAGTAAAAGAGAAAAAAAGACATATAGGTTTTATAATAATAACATCGCTAATTGTTTATTACCAACAATGTAATAATTTTATAACAACTACTATTTTTTGTTTACAAATTAACTTATGCACTGCATCCCCTGACTGGCAGAAAATACTAGCGTAAATCCAGCCCTTGTAACCTTTATTGTTTTAACATTATCTTTTTGTTTTATTGTTTCAACAGAAATTTCTTAAGTAAATAAAATAAATAAAAAAAAACTTTTTTTTAATAGTCTTGCTGTACTAATCTAGACGGAGCTCTAACATAAAATACCATATGTAATTGCTGATTAGATTATTCTTTTACTCACTATCTGCTCACCAATATGGTTATATATGTATATTGTACAATAATTTTGCGAACAGCTGTGTATACAGTTCTTACAAAGAGTTCAATAAAAAGAAACTTCAAAACTGATCATTTGTTTCATTTGGTTTACGTTTCGATATGGTTCTTTCAATTTTGAATCAATTATCTACATTTAATAAAATCATTTCATTCTATTCTATAAAATTCTTTATAGCTTCAACTGTCATACACCGAAATACATATTTTTCTAAGATCCCATTGTTGTAATTATTAATGCTACAGTAACCTATATCCTATAACCTAATGCTATACGAGTATAAGTGAAATTGATTATTTGCTTATTATGTGCTATCAATTACCATTTCCCAAGTTATTGCCATATTAATGGTGATTCCGTATGCAATTTCAGTATATTAACGGTGACGATAATAGCCATTATCAATCTCTCTTGACCTTAAACTAATAAAAAGGCTGTTGCAATCTGTATCGCCTCACTAATTACACTGCTGATTTTAGGTTATAAAGCAATTAAAATTCAATTAACTGCAAAAACATTGTGGTAACACGAATCAACAACAGCTTTTAAAAATTTAGTTTTTTATGAGCTCTATTTTTCATAAACTGAAAATGAAAAACCCACTAACAACATTGATTCTTGGGAGAATAAAATAACTGAACGGTGCGAGGTTTGGAATGAGTACGGGATAGGTCACGAGCTCCACCCTTTTACGCACATGCGCAAAAGCAGACATTCGTCATTTAGTTTAGACTTATTTTAAGAAATCAAAACCTACATACGTCGTCATTTTTAGGTACTTCTGTCCCAAAATGACGTGATATGCACGCACATTCAATTAACTCCGATTATGTTCAATTTATTGAAAGAAAGGCATGCGCGCATTCATATCCACCTTATATCATTTTCAACCAAAATGTACGTAGAGTTTTATCTATTTTTTATTGGTCTAAGAAGCTAAAATGTAGAATATCGAGGTTAGAGACAGGAAGCAGCTTTAAAGGTGGCGAGACCACTCATACTGTGATTACCATACCCCGTGGCAATCGTGGACAATGACGATTATCGCATTTATCGCGGGGAGTGCTCTGAGGATTTGTTCGGATTTAACATCGCGACAAAACCCACTCTACCATCCACGCCATCTTTTACCACCGGCAATTTTTCCGGACGTATACGACTTAGAGACGTCTAAGAAAAGCTTACTCTTTTTTAAAAGGCCGCCAACGCCCATGCTATTTCCAAGGTGTTACAGTTATTCATGGACAACGGTCGATACTTACCATCAGGTGGGCCGCCACTTTTTGTATGAAAAATAAACGGTAAACGAACAATACTCTTTGTCAACGGTTTGGGCATATTGAATCCGATGTTTACGAAATAATATTTATATCCTCATACTGCCATCTTTTAGAAAATATACACTGCCATGTAACGGAGGCCATTATTTTTGACACTATATCTTTGTACTTTTTATACAATTTTTTGTTACAAGAAATGAGAGGCATGTATGCCAGACGGACGTCTTGGTGGCTTGGTGGTTTCGAGTGAAAAATTACTTGTTTGTTTTTCTCTTCGTATATATTTAACTTTATTCGTATATACTCAGGGCTGTCTCACCAAGATTTTTGGTCACTACTGAAATTCAGGGTTGCGGTTTCACCACAATATGTGCTATGATGTGTCGCATTCTCTTTCATCCCAAAAAAAAAAGTAAACATGGTAACAAGTTCGTTACAAGCGGTACGTTTGGGATTGTCGGGTAAAAGAATTGAGATCTGAACAAGCCCGTTCAGATTCTAATTCATTTACCGGCGAAGCCGACTACCCCAAACGTAGTTCACATCGCATTACACTTAAACTCTTTTTGACATTAATGTTTTGGTGAAATATCATTAAACTGAACATCATTTTATCTTTTGATATTTTAATAATATAAGAACTAATAAGTTTATATATTAAATGTGGGATTCGAGATTTATTATGCAAGCGAAATCACACATACGCAGGACTAATAGATTTAATTTATGGGGTAGAAGGTCGAAAGAAGTTCGAAATGGTTGATATTTACTGAATTTTGATCAAAAAAAAAAGGGCAGGGTTTTATAAAAGTAGAAGATTTTACATATTCATAGTTCTTCACAGGTCGACTGAACCCTTTTACCCCAAGGACTGCAACAAAACATAGTTCTGATCCACCTGCATCCATCAATTTTCTACATGTCTAAACAAGTCGCCACTCTATTCAAGTAAAGTTACAGCCTATATACGGCCTCTGCTGGGTCACAGGCCTCCTCTCATTTTTGATGGGTTTTAGGGCAAGGAAGCATTACGTCACTCCATTATTGACCTTTAATTATAATCTTAAGAAATGTAAACTTACACTAAATTTAAAATAAAATATAGGCCGATTTAAATATAAAAGCAAAATATTATAATATGTAGGTTATATGAACATGGAATCTTGGAATCCTTCCTTTATCTTTGCATTTCTTTAATCTTTTAAGCGGTGAAGCGTCACTTTTTTAAATAGAAAAATATTTCATATTCATAACCTTTTCGAGTCATTAGCTAAGGATTGGAATGTATTAGTTGCAAGGTCGGAATTTGATGAGACGTGGAATAACTACCTACTGCCCACACGAGCTTAATACGCTCATTGAAATAGGGTTTTGTATCGAGTTATTACGTTATGCAAGAATGACTCGGTCAAATTAAAATGATATTGAAAATCAACGCTTTGAATGAAATGATCAGTCTTTCTTAGCCTTAAAACAAGATCACACCTAAAGATATTACTTATGTAAAGCTTTCGTCATCATCATCATTACGATCTCTCACAAGTCCGCGCCTACCCCAAGAAATTCTATAAGACACGGTTCTCAGCTACCTGCATCCTTCGACTTCAAACTTCTCACATAAATAGTAACAGTTTTGTCAGCATCGCCATGTTTGTTACATGGACTGGAAATCACTGGCATTTCGAAATCTTGCCACTGCTTTCCAATAATATGTTTTATACCAGGAATATACAAATTTGTTAATCCGTAGATTTCGATGACCAAGAGATGTTCGTGATGCTTACCACATTCCATTACATAACAGGTAATAGTAAAATGGCGTAGGGAAGTGACGACCCCATCGCCCGCTGACGTAACGGTTATGTGACAAAACCGCTACGTCGGCGCAGTCAGTCAACGCCTTGCCAAGAGGTGTGAGCGCCGTGCCTCGGCAAAACTTGTTGGTGCAAGGGTCCGCTTGTGCATATGGCCGCACCATGAAACGGCGCCGGGTCTGGGCGTCTCCCGTTAAATGGCGCCCTGTAAAATGGATGATGGAACACAGAAAGGAACGCGCAAAGGGCCGGTGCCTGGGGGTCTCCAGGGCGCGTCTGGAGCTGGCGCTGGACGCGGCAGCATGCAGGAACCACCAGCCGAGCGCGAGGTGCTGCACGACCACCCAGCAGCCCCTCGCATCCATCATCCCCACCAGATTGCTTGGTGTCGGCTGGGTCTTCGCAGACCCAGCAAACGGCACCCGCCGCTGGTGGAGTACGCCGCATGCGATGGACCACAAGCTATGAACGTACAAACGCATTGCGGGCGTATTATAGGGCGAAAGGCGAAGAAATTGGGGGTTTCGCGTATAGGGCTCGGATGCATCGTCTTTTTACTAAGCTCCTCTATTCCTGTCACGGAACAAAACCTGGCAGACCAAGTTCGGTACATCTTACGCTCGTAAATATTTGATGGCGCCGAACTCGAACGGCTACGACGTGAGGCTATTCCCTCATCGAATGAAACGGCTACGGCTAGGGATGCGGTGCCACATGCAGACAACCAGTCACACGTGGAAGCCGCCATGGATACTTCCAGTTGTTGCTGATTCGAACGATGATGGAACAGCCTCCCAGGAACTTAGAGCAAATGAGGAGTATATTGGATGAGGCGATTTTGGAAACGCGCAGTACCCCTCTCGAAAATCGACCGCGACTTCCCCACATACCCCTAAGCAAGCGAAATCGGGCTGTCGCGAGGGCTCTGAACCCAATGCTGGTGACCTATTTGGAAGCCAGCCGGGACCTTTGCGAGACGGACTCAATTCTTTTTGGCGCCGCACTGGCAGTTTGCCGTATTATAGGCGCCAAACTTCCCACGGCTGAACGCACTACTGCACAAAGTAGCGCCATCCCAGCCTGGAGAACAAGAATCGAGGAACGTATCGCAAAAGGCAAGGGCCCTCATCGGCAGACTGACATGCTTCAGGTCGGGCAATAATAGGCCGAAGATTGTGCGCACCTTCAGGGTGGCGTTTGCTGGGACCAATATCATTTTGTCCCAGCCGGATATAACGCAGAAACTAACGGAGCGCATAGACGACCTGAAACAAAAGATCGCTGCTTGGGGGAAGCGGATTCGACGATTTACCGAGAGGTCAGGCAGGTTCAACCAGAATCGTCTCTTCCAGAGTGATCAGAAGAGGCTCTATAAATCATTGGAGCGACCAAAGTTAAGTGGAGCGGGCCCAGGACCGGATCAGGCCGACACTATCGCATTCTGGCGTGGCCTGTGGTCAGAGCCCGTAAACCACAGCGAGGGCCCTTGGACGGAAGTTGTAGCGAGCCAGGGTGCGAGTGTTATGCACATGGATCCCGTCACCATAACGCCGAATGACGTGGCTGAGGCGGTCCGTAGGGCCTCGAACTGGAAAAGTCCGGGGCTCGACGGGCTGCATCACTACTGGCTGAAAGGGTTCGTAGTGTGTCAAACTACTACTAAACCAGGTGATGTCACGCGCTCAAAATGGATGTCAGGGCGGTGGTCGTGGAACCAAGGAAGCACTCTTCATAGACGAGGTTATAGGCAAAGTGGTGAAACGCAACCGTCGGAACTTCTCTGCCGCTTGGATAGACTACAGAAAGGCGTTTGACTCGGTGCCCCATACACGGCTAAAGAGGGTCCTTGAGCTGCACAAGATTGACTGTACAGTTAGAGACTTCCTCGAGCAGTGTATAATCACATAAGGATAAGAAGGGGTATCTTCCAGGGCAATAGTCTGAGTTCAATCTGGTTCTGCCTCTCTCTGAACCCTCTCAGTACCTTACTGGAGGGCTCCGGGAGGATTTCAGGTACGGAAAGGGGGGATAAAAGTGACCCACCTTTTCTATATGGATCACATCAAGTTATTCGCCTCCAGTCGCTCCCATCTTATGGAATTGCTAAACATCACTTGTGAATTTAGCAATTCCATTGAAATGGAGCTGGGGACGGATAAGTGTGCGGTCCTCCATGTTGAAAGGGGAAGGAAGGGTTGCTAACTCTGAGGGCATAGACTTGTATATGCCCGTCAACTTAGGGACCCTTTTCGAAGCTGAAACATACCGATACCCGGGTATGTCACAGAACATCGGTATCGATGAGGTTGGTATGAAACAGTCAGTTTGCGACGTGTTTTACGCACGCTTGACGTGCATAAAACACGTTATGTGCTTAACAGCCTTTTGTCCGGTGTGAATAAGACACACGCATATAATGCCTGTCCTCATGTATACCTTTGGCATACTCAGGTGGACCCAGACCGAACTTAACGCCCTAGATAGAAAAGGCCGCACTACCATGACGTACCATAGGATGCATCATCCGAGATCGTTGGTAATGAGGCCGTACTTGCCGCGAAAGCATGGTGGGCGTGGTTTTCTGAGCGCGCTCAACATGCATAATCTCGAAGTGTGCAGCCTCCGTCATAACTTCCTGGCAAGATCGGATGATCCATTCTATAATGACGTCATTTCTAGTAATAAAGGGCTTACCCCTCTATCCTTAGCCAACGAGCAATGTCAGGACCCAGCAGTGCTTAGCCTTTCCGACCGGGAGATCGTATGGAAAGAGAAGGAGCTCCACGGGAGGTACTACAGGGCTCTACATGAGCCCTTCGTAGATACAATCGCCTCCCTCAACTTGCTACGTTTCGGTGACCTCTTCGGGGAAATCGAGGGTTTTGTCTGTGCAATACAGGATTAGGTTATTAAGACCAATAACTATCGGAGATACATCCTAAAGAGTGGCACCGTCGACGTCTGTCGAGCTTGTCGCCATCCCGGTGAGTCACTTAGGCATGTCATCTCCGGTTGTTCGGCGCTTTCTAACTCTGAGTACTTGCACAGACATAACGTAGTAGCCAGAATTCTACACCAGGAGCTCGCTCTGAAATACAGTCTCGTGGACCGGAAATTGTCGTATTACAAGTACTTGCCGGAAGCCGTGCTCGAAAATAACCACGCCAGGCTCTACTGGGACCGGGTCATCATCACAGACAGGACTATTCTTGCGAATAAGCCTGATATTGTGCTGATGGACCGGGCACAGTCAAGGATATTTTTGGTCGACATTACCATTCCGTATGACGAGAACCTCGTAAAAGCCGAAACAGATAAGCGAACAAAATATCTGGACCTGGCTAACCCATCCCAGTCAGCCTCTCGGGTCATCTGAGGCGACTGGGACTCCGTGACGGACGGCTCCAGGCTCAAATGTAGAAGGCAGTGCTCCTCGATACCGCCCGCATCGTCCGTCGGTTTCTTTCCCTTTCCTCCTAACCCTCGGCCGTTTGGTCTCCCCTGCCGAGGGCTTCCATCTGGTTGGATCTTTATTTATTTATGTATTTTTTGTATTTATTTAATTTTATTGTCTTCATATATATTTATAGAACCCAACCGGATGAGAAAACTATACAGATATCCCAATAATAATAATCCTTTATTGCAGACACAAATATCCATATTTACAGGAATATATATATATATAAAAAAAAAAAATATAAAAAAAATATATATATATATATATATATATATATATATATATAGTATAGCAAGAATAGACATGTTGCAATATTTCCAAAAGTCTATCGTCACCCAGCATCTGTACATTGCAGTCTGTATCTGCCTATCTGCCAAACTACGCACAATAGAGTTGTTACACAAGTCAACTCTGGACATAAATGATGCTATCCTCTTTCGATGGATAGCATTAAAAGAGTCAATCCGGGTTTTCACGTACATTTCAGAGGCGCTACAATAGCGATTAAATCCCATTACAAGTCTAAAAATATTGTCATAAGTTACGCGTATACTATCATGTGTTTTCTTTGTATAGTCTATCTAGAGTTGACACGTGTGAAACGCTTGGCAGAAAGATCTAAACAGTGTAATTTTCACGTCCGGCGACGCCATTCAGAATTTTCGCTTAATGTTTTCTTATATTTTCTTTAACGTATGCGCGTATTAAAAAGTACAAAATAGTGAAAACAAATACTTTCTAATGACATTAGCCAAAATTTAAGATGGCTGGTATGTTCACAAATTGCCACTTATTGCATGAGACCGTTCGCAACAATTAAACGTACGTAGTAGTGTAATATGTATTGATTAGGCAACACTCGACCACGACTTTTAGTTCAAGTGATCATCTTCTACATTAAAGTAGATCGATAATAATCAGTGCGAGCATCAGTATAAATATTCTACTGAGATCTGTAATCGCATCAGTTACATGCCTGACATTCGCGGGATAGATCGTGTGAAAAAATCCGCAATGAAAATGGTAACGCATTTGTTTATTCGGTTTAATATCTGTCATCAATTAAAACTATCTAAATAAGTAAAGCGATTCAAATGATTTGACCAAGAACATCAACTCAGAACTTTTAAATAGGTTTACCTTTCCTGTAAAACATTTAAGCAGAATTTTGGCTTTGAGATATCTTTTAATAATATTATGGCTATAGAGAACGTTTTTCACTAGAGATCATGAAGGACGCATTCCTTGCCTTTTACAATTTTAAATATTATAAGGAGATCAAATAACATAGGGAGCAGAATAACTGTAATACTTCTTCTAAGCACATTATATTCATTATTAACAGACTCTTCTACTTAAATAAACTTATGAATACTTTTTTATTTTGTTTTTGTTGTACTTTTATTATTGTGCCATCTCTAAGTTCATTATTTTTTTGCAACTCTCTTTTTATAACGTGGCGTGTTTCCTTTGTAATTTTTTATGTTAGTTAGTAAAATATTGTCGTAATTTCAGATTATTCTAACAGTTTTTATCGCTTGCTCAAGCGCAGCGAAGCTAAACAAGGCTTATCTGCCACCAAACTATGCCCAGACATCGGGGGGTTCGAGCGACTTCCTTCAACCGCCTCTTTCAAGTACTACGTCTAATTTAAATGGATTCTCCAGCCAAAGAAATGATGATTTCCCCAATAAAGATCTCGCTCAGAACGAGTACAACCGAGACGGTAACGGTTTTGTCAAAAATGGTAATAGCTTTCTACATAATCAAATAAATGCCTTTGAAAATTATGAAACCCGCTCTGAACGTCCCCGTGCTGCTTTAGAAAGGAACGCAGCAATTCTTCGACTGTTTAATAATAATGATGGACAAACCTACTCTTATGCTTTTGAAACTGAAAATGGTATATACGCAGAAGAAAATGGTGTAGCTACAAATGGTGTCGAAGCGCAAGGTAGTTATTCCTACACCGGTGATGACGGACAAGTATATAGCGTCAGGTGAGTAGTTGATGGGCAACTTTTAGGTTTTCTTAGTAACAACTGTATTTATTTATTACTTACTTATTTACTATACAATATATTAAAAAATATATCATTGGTTTATGGGTTATTTATATTTTTGATAAAATAATTTACATCTTCACATGAAAACTCAAATTTTTTCTTGATATATGAGATGCTTATTTTGTACTTACCTTTACTGAGACTTTCATCACTTTTGGTAACAAAAGTGGTATGTGTTCATGCCGAAAGTAAGCAAGTTTCTCAGATAAGTTAATTTATTTTACTGTTTTATACAAAATCTGTTTTATACAATTTTTTTTGTTTCGTTGGCATTTATCACCATTGTCTCTCATACTTAGAATAGAAAGATTATAATATAATAATATTTCTTGAATACAGATTACATACAAGAATACTTATTAAAATAATACATACATAAACACTCACGCTTGTTATCAGAATAGGCAGAGACTATGGACTTCCATTTATATATAAATATACTGGAAGATTTTTTTTACCATCTGGAAAAAAATAGTATGTAACAGATGAACGGAATAGAAGCCTATGGCACTGATAATTTACATTTTTTTTGCTTTTACGTTAACATATTGTGAAATTTATTTATCAATATATACTACTAATTTGAGAAAAACTTTCAGTAATTAAAAAAATGAGAAAAAAAGTTGAACTAAATAAATAAATCAAATAAAAACTATCGAAATTAATTTATACGCACCTAATTAGTAGTATTTATTGATAGATCAATTTCATAATACGTTAATTAAAAAGAAGTTGTGAAATATAAGTGCCATAGGCTTCTGAATTTAAAGTGTAGTCAAATTTTACAGCTCCTTAAATTCTACCGTCCTCTAAATCAGCTGCTAGCTAATATTCAATTTCGACTTCGTGAAAAAAAAGAACATCAATTTTCTCATAAATATCTCCAATTTAATAAAACATATTATATCTTAAAAATGTATCTAGTAATAAAATTTATGACTCATCGATCATACCTCTAAATAATTTTAAACTTTACTGATTTTTTACGAAATAATTGTCATTGTGTATCGTAACTTTTTATTAAAATTTTAGATTATTGTTTTTTATTTTGACAAGATGACATCCTAAGAAACAAACATCAATGGATCGTTATACGTTATACACGATTAGAGTTATGAATTATGTATACAGTTAATAACGATGAAAATTTGAAACTAACTTAGCAATAAGTTATTTTTCACAGATATACAGCTGGCCAGAATGGTTTTGTACCGAAAGGTGACCACCTCCCTACGTCTCCTCCTATTTCACAGGAGATTTTATTGGCTCTAGAACAAAACGCCCGTGATGAGGCTGAAGGAATTTACGATGATGGTACAGAATATTATAATACTTACTTTTTTACATACGTTTCTTTTTTACTCTTATTAAAAATTAATTTTCTTGACTTAGAGTCACCTATGGGCGGTAGGTAGGGTATCTAAGGTATGACCATTATATTTCACGTCTCTATTTACAAAAACTCTATGGGCCAAGTAGAGGAATAACTAGTTTCGAGTAGATCGATAAATTAGTGATTTCTGGAAACACGTGATTTTTCATAAGTTACATCACACTAGAGTAAATAAAAAAAAGAAACGAAACAAATAATCTCCTTGGGAATGTCGTGTGTGAAATGTGTCGAATTTTAGGCAATATGGCCAGCTCTCAGCGGAAACTATTCATCTGCACTGTACAGGGTTACAGTGCACGATTGTGCATGATAGTACTGAACTAAAACGCAGATACACTTTCTACTTCCTCAATCACACAGTTCGATGCGACAGCAATTCGACACGACTCACTCACGGATTTTCGTGCTTATTGTACCTCAATGAACGAAATACCACCAGCTTCGTCTGATCGAGTTGCTATTGAGAATTTTTACAGAAATATTCAATAGCTGCTATATTTTATATAATTTCACATGATCAACTTTATACACCTGCATTATTAATATTCATTACAGTAAATCGATGCATGTTTGGAGTTTACAGTAATTATAGTTAAACAAACAAATAAAAACAAAAAAAGGTCCCGGCCAAAAAAATTGTCACCCGTGCGGGGAACATCGTGAGAAACCTGAGAAATAAAAAAAAGGCATGGAAGTGAGAAGCGCGGGGAAGAAACAAAAAAAGAAGGCCGAACAAGAAGAAGGACACAGTTTTTTTTAATAAAAACAGTCGGTCCTAAGTTAATATTACGTTTGTGACTTATTATCACTAGATAACATCACATTAATATAAGTTTTGTAAAAAACTAGTAACCAAAATCACTACTTTTTTAAAACAAATGACATCTCCTTCATTACGTCACGTTTTCTGAAAACCGCGAAACTGTCGTGCATAACAGGTAATATTATGGAAAATGTCAGTAGTAGAATCAAGCTCCAGCAGCTAGCATTAAGAATTATGTCCTCCAGTCTGAATTTCGGTCACGGGGGCCAGTCTCTATAAAGACTAATTAACTGAGCGTCCGAAGGGACTTCAATTTGGCGCTCCAAATATCAGTTATTGGGTGTTTCTCTCAAGAAATTCATAGTGGCAGCTCTGACTCAGGAAGTTGGCGCTGTCTCGTACCTAGGAAAGCGGAAAACACGTAAAGCCGTTAGTCCAGCACCTTTTTCTTTTTTATAGGGGGAGCAAACGATCTCTGATCTTTCTCCGATCGTGAGGGCTTGCCGGACAATACTCGTAAGAGTGAGAGAATAGAGAATGCACTTCTGCTTGCCTATACACTCGGGCACTATAAAGTAGTTCTTCGGAGATGGCTAATCTATGTAGACTGCACGCCGTAATCGACACTCGGTCTGAAGTACATTATTAAAACACATCCTCCCCTAAAAAGTAGGAAAATGACTACTTTTTAGGTACTTGTCTTTATATTTCTAAATCACGTCTGATCAATTTGCAGGGTCCTACGATGAATACAAGTATTCCAATGGAGGCAGCAGATACGATACTCCAGTTTTTGGCAACAGTAATACAAATGGAAACCATGTCAACAAAATAAATGACCATGACGCGATTGTAATTAATTCTGCTTTTAATCCTGAAGTATTCGGTCAGCAGGGAACCGGAGTAAGAAATGCAAACAACCTTAGAAAGCCAATCGACGATGGTGTTACTAAAGCCTATTTGCCACCTATATCCGAACAGAGGACTTCAGGAAACCAAAACGAAGAAGCTCGTTTCGGTAGCAGGAACCGCCAGCCAGGCTTCACCCCTAGAAACAGTTACAACTATTAAAACTTTTTATTTTGTTATGGACTTATAAATATATTTATTAAAGACTGAAATTTTGTTTTCTTTTTACTATAATATACTAAGTAGGTAGTCTTATATTAAAAAAAAAGTTTTTATCAATTGAAAAAATATATTTTTGTATAGGAGAGAGGCCAAACGAGCATACGACTCACATGATGGTAAGTAATTACCGCTACCCATAAACAATAGCAACACCTGGGGAATTGCAGATGCGTTGCCGGTCTTTTAAAAATGAATAAGCTGTTTTTTTGAAGGTATCTAAGTCGTATTGGCCAGAAAGAATCTCTGATGGTAGTCGATTCCACAAGGAAGTTGTGCTAGAAAGAAAAATTTTTTAAATCTCAGAGTGGTTGATCGCCAGTCATCCAGATGGTATGGTATATCCAGTTTTGTCGCGAATGCGATAAAATACGCAAAGAGGTGCGATATCTCTTGGCAGTACCACTAAGTCAAGCCGATCGGAATAAGGTCGGTCTCCGACGATTAGAACAGCTCTGCGCTGGTTGTGTTCAAATGGAAGGAGCTGGCACTGGGGAGCCCCAGCCCAGATATGGGAACACCATTCCATGTGCGGCTGAACCTGTGCCTTGTAAAGTTGCAAGCAGTGTGCTGGCATGAAATAATGTCCAACTCTGCTGAGCATGCCAAGCTTTTTAGAGGCCAATTTGGCCTTCTCTTCCAAGTGACCACGAAACTCCACGTCACTCGATATGTCGACGCCGAGGGTTCAGATACTGGCTGAGGCAACAAGGGGTGCGCCTTGAAACTGAGAAGTTACGTCGAAGGGATTCTTCTTAGCAGTAAACGGGTAAACTTGTGTCTTCTGGGCATTGAACTGTACTAGATTTAGTCGCCTCCAGTCCAATACTGTTCAAAAAAGTCTCGACTTCAGACACAATTTTGTCCCGGTATTCAACGACGTTTACCCAAGTAATATTAGCACGGCCGGTGTATAAAGCATCACCAGTGCTGTCGTCCGCTTATCAATGAATTATCGGTTTGCAACACGTCATTTATATGCAGAAGAAACAGTATTGGTGATAGCACGCAGCGTTGTGTGATGAAACCAGCGTTAATGGGATTGTAAACGGATAATGCACATCTACTACGACCTTGATGCTCCGATCTGCAAGAAAACTGTTGATCCAATTGCACAATTTCTCGGAAGAAAGGAAGCTTCGTAAGAAGCGCTTTGTGCAAAACCCGATCGAAGGCCTTCGCTGTGTCCAAAATAACGGCCAACGTTTCCCCTTTGGACTCTACTGCCTCCATCTATTTATAAGTTAGGTAACCCACAAGATCACCAGCCGAGCGACCGCGACGAAAACCGTACTGGCGGTCACTAAGAAGCTGGTGATCCTCAAGGTACCGCATGAGTTGGCTGTTAATAACGGACTCCATTATTTTGAAGAAAAAGATGTGATGGCGATATACCTATAGTTGGATGGATCAGAGCGGTTATCTTACTTATTTCACATAGTACGTTATAAATTTAAAACCCATATAAAGTATAAATAATGTGTAAGTATTTAATATAAGTATTGGATGTGAAGCAAAGAGTGAAACTTAATAAATATTTTAGTACTTTATATGTAAATATTAAGCTATTGCACAGCTTCTACCGCGGGCCTTGAGCGCGGGGACCGAATCCAGAAATTCATTCCGTAACGAAAAAATCTCACGCTCCCCACTCCGACGGGTACGGAGGTGTGGCTTGAAGGCCGTGCATCGTCTAACGTCGTTTCAGTTCGGCAGACTTCGGCACTCGGCAGACTTCAGCACGGTGTCTGTGTGCGTGCGACTAGACGTATGCGTGTACACTAGCTGCTAACTCAATGATAAAAATTCCTGAATAACCTACATGTTTTGTAAGATATTAAAAATATTTTAAACAATATTAACTTTTCATTTATTCAATAATTATTTATGTAATCTAAGTATCCTGTTTACTCCAAAGAATACAGTTTTAATTTTTTTTATTGGATAGATTGGCAAACGAGCACACAGTCCACCTGATGGTAAGTGGTTGCTGCAGCTCATAGACATCTACATCTATCCTCGATTACAAATCAAAATGCAGATGCGTTGTCATCCGTGAGGACTAAGATGGAATGCCTCATTTCCAGTAAAAAAGGTCTTCGGTTCTCTACACTCACCATACGAAACACAGCAGCATTAAGACACTATTTCACACTGGTATTCTGTGAGAGCGTGTTCCTTCCTCGGTCGAGCCTGCCCATTAGTGCTATATACTACTAATATAACTGCAGCATGGATCTACCATGTATAAACTATATACACTTAACTACTCAAAATAGTCTCATATTTTGCTTGTAAGTGGAAGAAACATTGTTATACTTAATAAGTATAATTAGTTCTTCATAATGTCAAACATTAAACGTGAACTAATTTCTTTAAAAAATGTACAACAAGTTATGTATAATTATATATCAATTGGATTTAGCCAGCGAGAAAATGAAATCATGTCGTGTTTACGCCATCTAGCGTATTTTTAGCATACCACCTTGAAAGTTAATCAATGTTTGTTCGATAAAATCATTTTACGTATAAAATGCAATAGATGGCGATATAACAAATTATTATTTTACTTGTGTACTCCAAAGAATACAGTTTTAATTTATTACACTTAAATTCTCAAAATACTCCCATATTATGCTTATAAGCGGACAAGACATTGTTATACTTAATAGGTATAATTAGTTCTACACAATGTCCAACACTAAATTTGAACTAATTTCTTTACAAAATGTACAGTACCTACCTACCTAATATCTAAGCATCTAAGTAATATTTTATGTTACATTACTTTTTTATACACAAAAACAGTTCAAACTTAAAAAACTATCATAAAACTAATAAAATTATATTTATGTAAACTAAGTATCCATAAAATCTCATAATATAAAAAGTGACATACAAGTCTATATCAATAGGATATAAATGCCTATATCCATAAATGTGTATTATGCCATCCTTAAAATCCGATAACATAACAAGTTACATACAAGTATATATCAATAGGATTTAGCCTGCGAGAAAATGAAATCGTGTCGTGTTTGCGCCATCTAGCGTATTTTGTGCGTACCACCTTAAAAGTTAATCAATGTTTGTTCGATAAAATCGTTTTACGTATAAAATGCAGTAGATGGCGCTATAACAAATTATTATTATACTTGTTTACTCCAAAGATGTATTCTTTGGAGTTTTAATTTATTACACTTAACTTCTCAAAATATTACCATATTATGCTTGTAAGCGGACCAGACTTTGTCGTACTTAATAAGTTTAAGTTGTTCTACATAATGTCAAACATTAAACGTGAACTAATTTCTTTAAAAAATGTACAAGTTATATATAATTATATAACAATTGAATTTAGCCACCGAGAGAATGAAATCATGTCGTGTTTACGCCATCTAGCGTATTTTTTGCATACCACCTTGAAAGTTTATCAATGTTTGTTTGATAAAATCATTTTACGTATAAAATGCAGTAGATGGCGATATAATGAATTATTATTTTACTGTTTACTCAAAAGAATACAGTTTTAATTTATTACACTTAACTTCTCAAAATAGTTTTATATTATGCTTGTAAGCGTACGAGACATTGTTATACTTAATAGGTTTAATTAGTTCTACACAATGTCCATTCTGTACTATTTCACGCTGGTATTTTATGAGAGCGTGGTCTTTCCTCGGTCGAGCCTGCCCATTAGCGCTACGACTATACTACTAATATAACTGAAGCATGGCTCTACCATATATAAGAATATATACACTTAACTTCGCAAAATAGTCCCATATTATGCTTGTAATCGGACGAGACATTGTTATACTTAATAGGTTTAATTAGTTCTACACAAGGTCAAACACTAAACTTGAATTAATTTCTTTAAAAAATGTACAGTATCTACCTAACATCTACGCATCTATATAATATTTTTTGTTACATTACTTTTTGTACACAAAAACAGTTCAAACTTCAAAACCTATCATAAAACGAAAAAATAATTGTTTATGTAATCTAAGTATCCTCAAAATCTCATAATATAAGAAGTGATATATAAGTATATATCAATAGAATTTAGCCTGCGAGAAAATGAAATAGAACATTAAATTAAATCGTTTCCTGTTTATGCCGTCTAGCATATTTTATGCGTTAGAGAGTTAATCAATGTTTTTTCGATAAAATCATTTTACGTATAAAATGCAGTAGATGGCGCTAAAACAAATTATTATTTTACTTGTTTACTCCAAAGAATACAGTTTTAATTTATTACAATTAACTTTGTGACATTGTTATACTTATAAGTTTAAGTAGTTCTACATAATGTCAAACATTAAACGTGAACTAATTTCTTTAAAAAATTTACAGTTCTTACCTAATATATACGCATCTATATAATATTTTATGTTACATTACCTTATACACACAAAAACAGTTCAAACTTAAAAAACTATCATAAAATAGAAAAATTATTATTTATGTAATCTAAGTATCATTAACCCTTAACCACCTAGCGTCGGTCACAGTAACTCCAGGCGATATATTTTTAAGCTATTACATAGCTTCTATCGCGGGCCTTGAGCGCGGGGACCGAATCCAGAAATTCCGTAACGAAAAAAAACCTCACGCTCCCCACTCCGACGGGCACGGAGGTGTGGCGTTGAAAAGCCGTGCATCGTCTAACGTCGTTTCAGTTCGCGTTCGCGCAGACTTCGGCACTCGGCAGACTTCGGTACGGTGTTTATTGTGTGCGACTAGACGTATGCGTGTACACTAGCTGCTAACTCAATGATAAAAATTCCTGAATAACCTACATGTATTGTAAGATATTAAAAATATTTTAAACAATATTAACTTCTCATTTATTCAATAAGAGAAAAAAATTGTTTTCGCGTCGGTCACCACGCTCAAAAAGTGTAACTTGATTTAATATCAAAGACTTAACTGCATAA